AGGGAGCGTCAGTATGATGACCCCCACTTATTCATCCTTCGGGATATGGTTCAGTGAAGTGATGCTAGGGATGTGACTATTGGTGATGACGGCGTGTTGAGGATGCAGGGCCAGATATGCTAATGTAGATGGGCTCAAGGAGATGATTCTTGAAGAGGACCACAACTCGCGGTATTCCATCCATCTGGGTGCCGCGAAGATGTACCAGGATTTGAGGCAGCATTATTGGTGGAGGCGGATGAAGAAGGATATAGTTGGGTTTATGGCTCGGTGTCTCAACTATCAGCAGGTTAAGTATGAACATCAGAGACCAAGTGACTTGCTTCAGAGGTTAGAGATCCCAGAGTGGAAGTGGTAGCGGATCACCATGGACATCGTAGTTGGGCTCCCACGGACTTCGAGGAAGTTCGATGTTATTTGGGTGATTGTGGATCGGCTGACCAAGTCTGCGCACTTCATTCCAGTTAGTACTACTTACACTTCAGACCGGTTGGCTGAGATTTACATCCAAGAGATTGTTCGCCTGCATGGTGTCCCGGTTTCCATCATTTCAGATAGGGGCACTCAGTTTACATCGCCGTTTTGGAGGGTCGCGCAGCGAGAGTTGGGTACTCAGGTTGAGTTGAGCACAACTTTTCACCCTTAGACGGACGGCCAGTCCAAGCGCACCATTCAAATATTGGAGGACATGTTACGCGCTTGTGTCATTGACTTTAAGGGTTCATGGGATCGTTTTCTGCCGCTCGCGGAGTTTGCATATAACAACAATTACCAGTCGAGTATTAAGATGGCTCAGTACGAGGCTTTATATGGGAGGAGGTATAGATCTCCAGTAGGATGGTTTGAGCCGGGTGAGGCTAGGCTCTTGGGTACAGACTTGGTCCAGGATGTATTAGATAAGGCAAAATTGATTCAGGAGCGGCTTTGCACGACGCAGTCTAGGAAGAAGAGCTATACGGATAGGAAGGTCCGTGATGTGTCTTTTATGGTTGGGGAGAAAGTTTTGCTGAAGGTATCACCCATGAAGGGTGTTATGAGGTTTGGGAAGAGGGGCAAGTTGAGCCCCCGGTTTATTGGGCCTTTTGAGGTGCTTCAGAGGATAGGGGAGATGGCTTATAAGCTTGCCTTTCCACCTAGCTTGTCGAGTGTGCATCCAGTGTTTCACGTTTCCATTATCTGAAAGTATGTTGGCGATCCGTGCCATGTTTTGGACTTCAGCATGGTTCAGTTGGAGGGTGATATGACTTATGATGTGGAGTCGGTGGCCATTTTGGATCGACAGGTTCGAAAGTTGAGGTCAAAGGACATAGCTTCGGTGAAGGTGCAGTGGAGAGGTCAGCCTGTGAAGGAGGCCACCTAGGAGACCGAGCGAGAGATGTGGAGCAGATATCCATACCTATTTGAGACTCCAGGTATGTTTCTAGACTCATTTGAGGACGAATGGTTGTTTAAGAGGAGGGGGGATGTAACGACCCGACAGGTCATTTCAAGAGTTATAGCCCCATTTTCCCCATTGTTTCTTTCTTTTGTGCTTTTTAGCTATATTATGATGTATCGAGTTAGTTGGTTCGGGTCCGAAGTGGTTTCAGAATGGATTGAGACACTTAGTCTCTTATTTAGAAGCTTAAGTTAGAAAAGTCAACCGGATGTTGACTTATGTGTAAACGATCTCAGAATTCAATTCTGGTGGTTCCATTAGCTTCGTTAGGTGATTTTTAGTCATTGGATCTCGTCTGAAATGTGATTTGGAGGTCCGTAGTGGAATTAGTGTTGAATTGGCAAAAGTTGGAATTTTGGTGATTTCGGTCGACAGTGAAAAATTTGATATCGGGGTCGGAATGGAATTACGGAAGTTGGAGTAGGTTCGTAGTGTCATTTATGATGTGTGTGTAACATTTGAGGTCATTCGGACGTGGTTTGGTTGGTTTTGGCATCGGTTGTCAAATTTGGAAGTTTAGAAGTTCTTATGCTTGAATCCGAGGGTAATTTGGTATTTTGTTATTGTTTTGCGTGATTCGAAGGCTCGACTAAGTTTGTATATTGATATGACTTGTTGGGATGTTTGGGTGAGGTCCCGAGGGGCTCGGGGTGATTCCGGGTGGTTAACGGTTTTTTAAAGTTGGAAAAATGCAGCTGAAGCTGCTGCTACTAATATTTTCGCACCTGCGGAGTGAGAGCTCACAGGTGCGATGGCGCCGAAGCGTTTGGAGAAGTTGCAGGTGCGGGAAAGGATAAGGTGGGCTGGCACTGCAGGTGCGAGAAGTCTGTCGCATCTGCGAGCCCGCAGGTGCGAGGCCTGGGGCGCAGATGCAGAGAGGAGGATTTTAGGCAGGCTTCGCAGAAGTGGAGAAAAATGCGCATGTGCGCTTCCACAGGCGCGAGATTTTGGGCCGCAGATGCGAAACCTGGGCTCTTAAGTGAGTTCCGCACCTGCGATGGAAATTCCACAGGTGCGGCATCGCAGAAGCGGAAGAAAGGGCCGTAAGTGCGATAGTGCTGGGCAGAAAAGCCCCAGCTCGTGGTTTTGTCTTCATTTTTAATTTTTGGGTTTAAGAAACTCGGGAGAGAGGCGATGTTTCGAAGGTTTTCAAGGAGCAACGGTGGGGTAAGTGATTATAACCTATAATGGTATAAAATTCGTGAATCTATGGCTTTGTTCATCATTAATTAGTAGGATTATTGAAGTGAAAATAGGGGGTTAGGGATTGGGATTTTGGAGAGTTTAATTTAAGGATTTGAGGGACCAAACGATGTCGGATTTGGATAAATTTTATTTGTATGGACTCGTGAGTGAATGGGCTATCTAGTTTTGTAAATTTTATCGGTGTTCGAGACGTGGGCCGGTTTTGAGTCGATTTCGGATTTTGGCTATAATTTAGTAATTTTCTTGTGGAATTGGTTCCTTTAGCCTATATTGATCGTATTGTATTGTTTTTGGCTAGATTCAGGACATTTGGAGGCTGATTTGAGAGGTAAGGGCATCGCAGAGTAGGATTTTGCTTGGTTTGAGGTAATTGATAATTTTAAATATGATCTCGAAGGTATGGCCCCAGCGAAACTCATATGATGTTGATATTTAGAGGTGGCGCACACGTTGGGTGACAGACGTGTGAGCATGCACCAAGTGGGATTGAGACTTGGTCCGTTCCGGTAGTCTGTGAAGTCAAATACACCTTTTGTTATTACCTGTTCACTCTTATTTTCGAGTTATTGATTGTCTTACATGTTAGAAACCATGCTTAGGTTATGTGGAAACCTTGTTGGGACCCGCAGTAGTCATGGACTTGTTGCATTAACTGTTAAATTGTTGTCTTGTACTCAACCATTATTTGCTTATGCATTTTGTCCCGGCTCCCCCCATGATTTGATTTGTACTTGTTATAGTCTTTGTTTGGGTTGTTGTGATAATTGTGAGGCTAGAAAGGCTAGTGACTGATATAGGGCCTTAGTGCCGGTTTGTGAGCTGTGTGAGATATGTTGGATTGGGCTGCGCGTCACAGTAAATGTTGGATCGGGTTGCTCGCTGAACAAGCCTTCGGCCCATGATATTGGATCGGGCTGCATGCCGCAGTAATATATGGATCGGGCTGCACGCCGCAACAGTATTGGATCGGGATGCACACCACAGCAGTATTGGGTCAAGCTGCATGTCGCATCAATATAGCGCTTGGGCTGTAGGAGCCCCTCCGGAGTCTGTACACACTCCCAGTGAGCGCATGTACCTTGAGTGTGAGTATTGAGGTTGAGAGCCGAGCGATTGAGCTGTCGAGATAGATGAGTGACAGTAGCCCATGTGAGGTTGTGTATTGCTTTTATTTATTGATGCACATTGTTGCTAGTCATTGCTGTTGTGATGTTTTGGGAGGACTTACACTGTTTCACATGAACTTGAAATGTTTTGATTTTTAAATACCGGTTTGAAAGCATGCCTAAATTCCTTTACTGAAATTTCTGAAAAGAAATGTATTATGTGTAGCTCGACTTTATTTTTCTCAATTCCTTATTTATTTATATTACTTGCTGAGGTAGTTGTACTCATGCTACACCCTGCACTTCATGTGCAGATCCAGATGTGTTTGATCACGGATGTCATTGAGTTCGGGCGCGATCGAGTACCGGAGACTGCGAGGTAGCTGGCGGCGTCCGCAGGACCTTGTCTCTCCTTCTATATTTATTTCCGTCTTGTATTGATACTTAGATACTGGTTGTATTAGTTTGGTTATGTAGATGCTATTGACTTAGTGACACCCCGATGTTTGGGCTAGTTTTCCGCATTCTGATTCTATATTGAGTTCAACTTTGGTTTTTATGAAGAAAAAAAATTCTGATATGAAAAAGTTTTAAACTACCTTTTATTGAATTACTGGAGTATATTAGGAAAGCCGGCTTGCCTAGTACCATTGATAGGCGCCATCACAACATGTTAGGTTTTGGGTCGTGACACACACGTTCTTATTTATGTAAATGTCATTCATTATTTTTTATTACTCTATTTAATGATATCTTTCACTTTTTTGGATCATTGAATATTGTTAGTGATGCTCACATCTATTGCCATTTGGTTAAATAGATATATTATCTGTCACAAAATCGATAATCTTGTCTTTCGGATATTAAGATTGACTTTATTTTATAAAAAGCGAAATTATATAAGCAAATTGACCGTGGCTTTGTCTTCTATTTCAAAAGATTTTGTTGATCCAACATTAAAGAAAAAAAATGGAAACATCCTTATCCAATGAATTTATAGAAAAAGCAAAACAGCAGTAGTACTAAAAGTTAAAAAAAGAAAGAAAGAAAGGATTTTTGGATCATTCTTGAGTTGTTGCATACTAGCCTAAATATATAGAGTATATTTTATCTTGCCTTGTAGTTCTAGTTCAACCGTGATCATATACATATGAACCATATTGAATTTTGTTTTCAAATTAAAATTTTCATATATAATTTGGAAAGAACTTGTTAATATAGTAAGATTTTCGATGCTTGAGAAAAAAATAAAATTACAGACACATATTGGCCGGGCCAGGGCATAACCTCACCTAGTAGTATTTATCCAAGTCAAGGCAACAGTAACGAAAGTCCTAAAACTAGAAGGAAACGTAAAAGTAAAAACCAGCTAGGTTGCCCAACACATGTACATGTAACTGTATAAAGTAGACAGAAGCTACCATTAATGTTTTCTGTTCCTCATGGAAAATAAGGAGATGAAGAAGATTTGTACCGCCGGAAACAAATCTGAAGATTTACCTGAAGATATAATTTTATGATATATTCTCTAGATTTCCCACCATATCTTTGATGCGATCCAGGTGCGTTTCAAGATTTCATAGCTCTCTTTTCGGATTAGGCCGAGATCCCTATTTTGTGGATCTTCATCATCAAAGGGGCTGCTCCATATCTAATTCTCTGTCCAACAGCAAATTCTTGGTACGCACAAGGCAGCCGCGTAAAGAAAAGTTTTATTACTACAGTTGTGAACACGACGGCCAGAACCAGAAGTTGGGTAAAAAGACCAAAAGCACCTCCATTCTGGGCGGTGTTAGCTATCACAAAGTTGAGTACGCCAAAGGTTTGTTTTGTTTATGGAGTGAAAATTTCGAGCCTGTTTTTATTTTCAATCCTACTACTAGAGAATCGAGATTTCTTCCTCGTCTAGACATTGATTTTAGTACTAATTATCAGTGTCACTGTTCTTTGGGTTTTGACCCAAATTTGAAAAAACACAAAGTTCTTATGACAATTTATGACCCTAAGATGAAGTTAACCCGACACTGCTGGGTTTTCACTTTAGGTGAAACGACGTGGAGAGAGATCAACTGCGACAGGATAACCAATTTTTACCCAAAAACGAATTATGAAGGAGTTTACGTTGATGGAGCTGTGTATTTTTACTGTGGTCACTGCAACATTTACGGACTTGACATAGTGGCCTTTAATTGTAGAATCGAAGAGGTCAGAATTATCTCATTGTGGGACAATTATCGTAATTATGGGATGAGGATAGGACGCCGGTTTAACCTGGTAGAACTTGAGGGTAAATTAGCAGCCATTGACGTCATGTTTAATTATATGCGTGTTTGGATTCTACAAAGTCCAGAAACAGGAGAATGGATAAGGCAGCTTGAGATTGTCATTCCTCCTCAATCCTCAGTAGCAACATATGGGAATTTTGTAGTACATCGCAGATGTACTAGTACTACTGACAAGAAGGAGATCGCATTCACGAAACTAAATAATGATCCAACAAATAGGATTTTATTCTACGATTTGAAGGAAAACAAGTGGAGATCAGAGAGAATCCTGGGGCTTGCTGAGAATGCTAAGATTATTGGTATCTATAATTATGAGTATTGCATCTACTCAGTTTGATGTCTATTTTTCTTCTTAAGCTCTATACTATTTTAGGGGATCATCTATTGTGTGGATTACTGTTAAGTTGATGTTAAGGTTTGAACTTAAATTGAGCGGACCCTCAATGTTTATGTTGCTTGAGAATTGATTCCTCCATGTTTAACCATTTGATATATTCTGCATGTCCCTTATGTAAGATCTCCCTATTGGCATCTGAGTCATCGTCTTCATGAGTTTGCTCCAGAATTAGGGTGTCTGCCTCTATTTGTTTCACCTTTTCAAATACATTCCCAATAGTTTCTCTAGACCAAAGACTCAATTTTTTGGAGAGAGTCTTCAGTTTCTGTTGCAGGATCCATTGAGAGTTGCCATATACCTCTATGTTCCAAGTGTCCTCAACGAGATTTAAGAAGTCTGGTTGAGTTGTCCAAATGTTTAAAAACTTGAATTATCTGATAAAATCAGTATGAGTGTTATTGCATTCCATGAAAATGAGTCTATGATCTGATCCTGTTCTGGCAAGACGATCTATTCTGGTTTGTTGGTATAGGTCTGAGCAATTCTCATTTATAAGGACTCTGTCCAGCCTTTTGCTAATTCTTCTTCTCTCTCCTACCATTACACCAGGTAAATGCATTGCCAGAGAATCCAGCATCAGCTAATTCACAATCTTCAATACAATTTATAAAGTCTAGACTCCTCGTCAAACTATGTTGTATTCCTCCTCTCTTTTCTTCCGGAGCTAGGATTGAGTTGAAATCTCCAAACACAGCCCAAGGTCCATCAATTACATCATGTAGGTGTCTGAGATTGCTCCAAAGCCTTCTTCTTTTCACAGCCTTTTATTTGGTATATACTGCAGTGAGCCAGAAGTTTTGGTTGTCCCCATCCATCTTGCATTTGAAGGTAATTTATTGTCTCTTATCAGAGATGATAGTGCAGTCAAAATTAGCTCTATGGAAGAACCATATCTTGCTATTTTTGTTGGCTGCTGCATAGTCAAAACCCAAGGCTATTTTATATCTTTCAAGCTTGTCTGAACTCAGAAAAGGTTCTTGAAGAGCCACAAAGTCTATCTTATATATGTTGACTAATTTCATTAGTCTTAGAGTTGCTCCCTTGGATTTCATTCCCCTTATGTTCCATATGATGACTTTAATCATTAAAGGATAGAAGGGGTTAGTTTTGTCTGCTTTCGGCTGGTCCATGACCTCCCCTAGCCTTCTTTTTGTTTTGGTGACCTCTAGGTGATAGTCCTTGTTTGTTGATTATATCTTTGGTTTCCTTGAGTACTGAATCTTCATCCTTTTCAGAGTCACTGTCCATGACTGTGTTGAAACTGTTTGGAACTTTCTCTTCAGAGGAATTCACAGTTTCTTCTTCATCTTCTTGTTCTGTAGTATCATCATTGCCATGAAAATGCTCTAAACTTGAGCCATGTCTCTCCTCATTATGCACTACCGCAATGGAACCTAGATCTACCATAAGATGGATACCTTTATTTTTCACGTTTGCGGTATCCACGATGATTGGAGATTGAATATCTTTATTGTTTTACTTGACTTTACTAAGTTGGTCTTCTGGTATAGTACTAGCAGTAGCATTTTGTTTCTTCTTTTGCCGAGTGATTGCCTTATCTTCTTCCTGATGCGATTTCGTGCTGCCTTGTAGCTGAGTCTTTGTTTTGGTTTCTTTCAGGTGTTTGCCCATACTGATCTTCATCTCATTTCCTTGGACTTCTGTCACAATTTCTTCAAAATGGCTTGGCTTTTGCTTGATCCATAGCATGTTCTTCACCCTTAGTAGGCCATTAGCATTTCCCTTTTTCTTCTTTTTCCTGCCTTTCTTGCTTTTCTTTGTTTCCAAATTCTTCTCTGTATTTGTATGTTCCTTTTCTTCCTGACTATGCTTTGATACTCCCTCATCTTTCTTTTTTCCAGTTTCTGTAGTTACATTAGTAGTGTTGGCTACAACATCTACCTTGAGGTGTTGTTTTGCTGTATATGCATCCTTGTCCACATTTGTCTGCACCTTAGTTGCTTTAGCTTTCTTGTTTCTATAGCTTATAACCTCCGTGAATCCCTCATTATTTTGCTTTCTAGTAGAGTTTGGAATTTTGCTAGAGCTAGGTTTGTCTTCCCTTGTTGTAGTTCCATGGTTATTCCCCGTTACATCTTTTTTCCCAGTGTATCTCCACCTCCAATTTCTGTTTGCAGTAAAATTGTATCTTTACCATTTTGATCTGCTTCAATATTTTCTGTAGCACTCTTTTTCTCGAGAACTCTACAGTTCATGTTGTGCCCAAGTTTTCTACAATGTTTGCAAAATTTCGAAATGCTCTCATATTCAATTTTTTGAGTATATCCTTTCAAGGAAAATTTCTCATCCTCGGAACCCACCCATACACTATTAGGTTGAGGTTTCGTTAAATCTATTTTGACCCTAACCTTGGCCATGCTTGGTCTAGTTTTTTCCTGAGTAGCAGCATCTAATGATAATGGTGTGCCGATATTGCTAATAATTTGTTTCACAGTGCCAATTGTGCATATTAAGCGGAATACCTGGGAGGAGAACCCACACCGGAACAATTGGGATGTCTGGTTTGAAATTCGGTGACCATTTTTGTAGCCACATTTGTAATCCCTCGATTTCGATCACCCTTTTGTACCATATCGACGAGAAGTCTTCTTCATTGGTAAAGTCTATGAAAATGTTGTAATTATCATAGATACCGATCTTAGCAGAACCCTTGATCGAAAAAAGTTCTCTGAAGGTAGACCTTATTCTTTCTATTTGTGGACGGGGTTTCAAGAATCTCCCCACAATTGTTAATTTGCATTCTTCAGCCATGATTCCATAAGAGTCTTTAGCTTTAAATATCACCGCCGCCATCCCGTTGTGGGTGGTTTGCCGCGCAATTACTGCTTCTCTTGGGTGACGGGCTGTGGGCATCGAGGTGACGTTTGTGCTAGTTACTGAAGTAGTATATGTTTGATTTCCTGCAATTCCTTCAGTAGGTGGAATCACCACTGCTAGAGGGTTGTTTTGGTTGTCAATACGTGCCGTTCGACAGCGCCATAGGGTGGTGCGTATCTAGGACGCGCTACAGAGTTACCATTGAAGATAGGAATAAAGACAAGCAATAAGGAATAAATAAGTTTGTGTCTAACATGGGAATCTTTATAAGCCATTTCTTAATGGTTAGTGAGTTAGGTCCACCTACGTTAACATGACTTTTTCTTCTTGTAAGATAACTATAAAATACTAATCCTTGTAGGCCATTAATTTTATTGCAATACCTTTTCGGGTTATCTTTTCACTAGAAAAAGGTTTTAACATAGGTAGAGCAATTAAAGTATCTTCGTTTGATCAATTCATCGATAATTACAGTTAAAGTGCTGAATTAGACCTGCACTGGGATGATATTACCATGGATTGCTTACTCTTTGTTTACAGAGTCAAAGTGCCGAACTAGACCTGCATTGGGATGGTATTGTTGAGGTTTTTGTTATTTAAGATGAAATAGTCTTAAAATGAGGGTGAATGAGAAATGAAGGGAAAAATAAAATTTTTGAGTAAAATTTTAAGTTTTCCCCTCTTGACAATGAGACATTGTCCCATGTTGGAAGAGGAAAAGATTTTTGGTGGGTATATATATAATTGCTCTTCTTGTAGCTCTTAAAGAGTTAAGAAGAAAGCAAGCCTCGCACCGTCGTCGTCGTCGCTCGCTCTGCTCGGCTCGGCTCGGCTCGGCTTCGGCTTCGGCTTCGGCTTCAGATTCAGATTCGGTCAAATGATCGATTAATTTTTTGGACCAAATTTATTTGTTAATAGTAAATATTAACGTAAGATTATCCGCATTTGTAACGGATATGTTTCAATCCGTGTATTGACCACCAGCTGCAATAGCAGCCGCCTAATGCTCTTCCCACCATGGCCAAGTGCTTGCTCCACAAACAAGCTAGTGCATGCTCCACCATGGAAGGTGGAGGGTCGTTCATCTTCAAAGCTGACTGCTATAAATATGTGCAGCAGCTGTTGAAGAAAGATACACCAAAACTGAAAACGCTCAACTTTGGCTATACATTGCATTCCTTCCTCTCAGCATTTTCATACGATTTTCTTAGTTTCTACTCCTTTGTTCTGCATTGTTTTAACTTCAAACAAAGCAACT